AAACACGCGCCTCCAATTCCCAGCCATTCAATGGATGGAATCGACGTAAGCCCCAAAAAGCTGAGTCACAGTCCACCCAACACCTGCAAAAAAGCAAAAGGGGGACATCCGCACCTGTCCATCATCTTCACTTACCAGGCTTTGATTCTGTCTCTGGCGTTCAGGCCCCCGAGACCTCTCTTGCCGCGACAGCTCGTTCCTCCGGCAAGGCAGTGGAAGGAGTCTGCGGCCTGACCGCCGATCAGCACATCTGTTTGAGCCACACCAGCGTGACATGGAGTGCTTGGCTCTCAAAACGTGTACAAGCCCACAAAAAGCTTGTGCGGGTTCTTCTGAGAAGACTCTTCTTTAGGACCCGGATCCCTCTTTCGGTTTCCATGTCAAAGTGAAAGCAACTATCTGTCTTGCCTACGGGAATCCATGTGGTACAACCATTCGTCCGGGCCGAACCATGAATCATGGATAGGGTCGCCTTTCAGGGTGCGCGGGGGCCATTTGGCCAAAATCGGCAAACATCGCGCTGAGTCAGAGTCGTCAGCCTGACCTGAAGGCTTGGTCAAACCAAACCTACGACCCCTACGGTGGATGCCCTGAATATTGCAAGTGGACCAACCACAAATTGCTGCAGTAACTTCTGGCGATAAGGTATCTTCAGAGCGTCTGCACCAGAACGCTGCTGTGCATCAGCCCGCGCCTGCTGCTGCATTTGGAGCTTCTATGATCCTGGCATCAGGCCCGCTCTTTGCAACTGCAAATGAACCACAAGAAGGCTAAACGTGCTTCGTTATGCAGCACTTGAGGTGCCTCCCGGTAAATCAGCCCACCCTGTGATGGAACCTCACAAGGGATCCCTTTGGGCGGAAAACCATGGCTGGTCTTCTTGAGGGCACGCCTTTTTGCTGGTTTCAAAGGGACACCAACATGCTTTTGGGGGTCCCGAAAAAAAAAAAAAAGAAAGAAAGAAACAAGTTGGTTTTATAGGGAATCTATCACCGGCTAGCTTCCCTCAAGCTTGCCCTTCCTAGTGCTTGACCCTGCCAGAGCGCCTGCCGTGGCAGATCCTCTTCCGATGTGTTGGACCTCGGATTCACTGGATTTCCCCAACAAAAGCGGCAAGTACTGGTGGCGTCCAACAAAGGTGCCACTTTTGGAGGTCCGAGGGAACTTAGGGAACCCCTGTCACTCTGAGAGGCCCTTCTTTTCAGCAGGACACAACAACTGTACATGTTGAATAGCACGTGACATTCGGAATGTGTTCCTTCAGGTGGCAAATCCAAATTGCACCTGTTGGGATGGACCACTGGATGAACCACGATTATGCCTACCGGGGATAAACCACCTACCAACCGGTGCAGGATGTTGTCCATGCACAGTATGCAACAGAAAGTCGGTGAACGAGGCGCGCCATTCGCATCATTGACTTGCTTGCTAGAAGGCAGAGCCCAAATTTGTGCCAACGTAAATTTCTTGGCAAGGACTCACAGCTTGTTGAGAGCTGCAAGCGCAATAGCCACTGACAGTGGCAATAGGAAGTCGAAGAGCATGAAAAAAAGCCTGTCTATACCATGTCAACAGCGACAGCCATGGCCTTTGCAATTTCCACCTATCATTTCTGTTTTATAGCTATTGGTGGGGTGGGTGACACATATCTCCAGCGTAGGCTCGTAGACCACCTTCTGACAGGCACCTGGATCGACTCACAGCACAAATTTGGATTCCCCCCAAAAACACCAGCTTGTGCCAGCGCGTCTATTTGGCCGTCCGGCTCCGAATGGATTTGATCCATGATTTTGGCACCGGAGGCCCCTCCAGGTTCAGTGACCCTGGCGCAAAAGGGACCCATGGAGTTGACCATGCTTAGTCAACCCACCAAACAAAAACAAACAGGAAAAAGGGTGGGGTCCACTGAACAACTGAGTGTGTCTTTTTTTGGGGACCCCTCCCCCAAAAAAAGGTGTTTCCCTCTACAAGCTGCAAATAAAGGACTACCAACTCCAAAGAAAACTGGAGTTCCAAAAAAATATTGTCATTGTGACCCTAACCAACACCCAGGCCAAGCTTCCGCACGGCGAGCGCCCGCTCTGTGAGCCTCAACCCGGATTGGCAACAAAAACTGCCGCCAACCAAAAAAGATGTACTCGGACTTCGATCCGTACTGAGTCAACCAAGAAACGTGAGATGAGCTTGAAAGTGATGCCAGTGGTCCAAAGCTCAAAAATGAGAAACCTCCAAGCCACTGCTCGCACCGCCCAGCACTGCGACAAAGTTCTGTAAAACACAAGGGAGCGAATTTAATTGGGGGGGGGACCTTTTGGTAGACATCATTTAGGTGGAAGTCCTGTTAAAAACATCGTAGCCACAAAGGTGTGCAATGGGTCCAGCACAATAGGAGCGAAACAAACTGAGGCATAGATGAACCAGTTCAGCATAGTATGGTTAAACCCTGGGAGTGATCAAACAATATTAACCTTGAAAGGTCTCTGGACATGAAACTGATTCTTGATGTAGCTCACTGCACATTGAGAGGTTGTTTCCGAGTGCCCTGCTGTCCGACTTCCGCATGTCTCGCCCATCTTCCGGACGTTCTTCCGGGCGGTCTTCCGGCTCCTTCGAATGAATCAAAAGAAACAAATGCCCGCATGACTCCTCCTGCAAAGTTCATGTCACGCACCTTTCCTGCCAAATTGGGGGGTCTGGAAAAAACACATCGTCCCGTTTGGGTGTTGATTTAGCAGCCATAGTTCTTGCTTCAATTAATTTTGGAGGTGGCAGCATCTGACACGGACACGGAACGAAAGGAACACTTCTGCCACTACGAATGACACTTCCTTCAGACGTAGTTGGTTTGTTCAGGTTACGTGCTGGAAGAAGCCAGTGACAGCCCGAACTACGATGTCAGTGACTCAGTGGAACACCATGAAATGCGGTGCAAGCGCAAACTTCAGAAATATGGCAGGCAACAGCGGACGTCAATTCACAAAACAATCACTCTTCAGCAGCGGCCCAAAACAAAAGCACCTGCATTGGCCCTTTTTGTAGGTTCTACCTGGCTGAATGGTGATTGTAGCAAGGCCCGTGAACCTTTACCATGTGGTAGAGCTGACGTCAGTGGGTTTGGGTAGTTCGGAACTGGCCAGATTGATCCGGATCAGTCCGGATCAGTGGAACTGGGCAAACCCGAGGCTCCATCCATGTCAGGATAAACTGACCCACACAACACAAAGAGCAAGGATGACAGTTAAGCCTTAGAGCTGATTTGAAGCCCCCCTTTACCTTGACTTTGGTCTCATTCAGGGGCATGTTCCAGGGGTCTGGTCAATGGTCCAAGAAATGCCAACTGCAGTGCGTCAGGCATCCTGCCCCTGGCTTCCTGAAAGTTTCATCTTCAAAACCAATCCGGAAGCACACAGCTACAGCTCGAAGTGGCTCACAGCCCCCAGCCCAGGCTTGCCTCGTTTGTCTTTGCGTCGCACTCATGCTCCGACTGTTCTTCTGTTGGGTCTAAACCTAGCAAGCGCCCGCATTCTGAGAGCGAGGCCGTGCTGCATCCCAATCATTACCCAAATCAAACATGGGGTTCATATGGGTGTTCTAAAAATTAGGGACCCCTCGAGGTGATTTGCTTTCTTGTGGTTTCCCTTTACACCAGGGAACAAAAGGTAATTGACACATTACTTGACAAGACCGGGACCTCTGGTTCCCTGGAGGCTACAGGTTTGGGGGTTGTAGACCTTATTGACAATTGACCCAAGGTAGGGTGTATTTGAGGGCACCCAGTGTTTGGTGATTTTAAAGGGAACCAACAGGAAACCCACAATTGTTTGGGTCCCCCAAAACAAGACTACCAAGACACACCCATCTAATGGATCTGGCACAGCATGTGGATGGACCCTCGCTCAAGTTTCGATCCGACCAGTCATCTGCCGGTGACAGCCGGTCGAAGCGTTCAGCTTCGGTGACACATCCCGCCCCTTGCAGAACCGAACTCACAGTAAAGTAAATTGGCCCAAAGGCAACGTTAGAGACCACCGAAAAGGGGACATGGTGTGTACACCTGATATTTGATTGGGACCCTTGGCAACACGCAAGCGCATCAGTCGCGCGGGGGGAGGTTCGGAACCTAAAAGTGCCATGAGGCCCCTTGAAATGCAGTGTCCCCAAATCGGAATCATGTCTGATTCATTGGGAGGGGTTCAAGCTCTCTCACCATTAAAACGGATATCCAGCCCTTTCCTGTTACTTGGAGGAACTGCAAGGTGAAAACAATTCCCCTGTCAACAGGGACCCATAATTCACTCATCCAAAGCGGGCATGGGGCAAACCATCTCTTCAAGAGGATCCTGTCCAAGACAGCCCTAGCTTCTATGTGTCCTTCTCTTGGGGGACCTCTTTGGATGCAAGGGAACGCCAAAACCGCCTGTGCATCCCCTCAAAGTCAACATAAATGGCGGTGGGTCAAGAATAGGCGCCCAAAATGGAGACCTAGCAAATGGACACATGGACTAAAACCTGCGGTCCCCTGGGGTTGGATTTTGAGCCATACCCAACATGACGAAGGAGAGATGGATTCTTGGAGAGGCACTGCAAATCCGAAATTGGGTAGGCCTTGAGGGCACGAAATGCACTGTGCAGCTGGGGCAACTTAACTCTGCAACCGTGTTCATCATCTGAGGGTGCCCAACCACTTTGGAGGGGTTGCCTACTGCAACTCCTAGCCATTTCAGCCATACGAGCTCCATTCGAATACTCCCTGCCTTCGTGGCTGCATTTCCCTTGCACGCACTCCTGCGCGGAAGGGAAGGGCTTCGATTTTTTAAGGGCCGCCTTCGCTTTCGACGCCCAATGGTGGCCCCCTTGAAGGCCACTCTTAACCGCAAAGTACCTCCCCGGTCCAGGACATGGGAGGGGGCATTTTTTTGCGACTTTGGTCGTGGCGTCGCAACCAAACAATAGACCGGTATTGTTGTCACTCGCTCACACAGCCGCGGTGGCATTCTCAGTCCAACAAATGATTCGCCTGGCTGTTGTCGGCTTATGACTGCGTGCGCTTGATCCCAGTCCTGGCATGCGTGGAAGTAGCAGCCCTCGCTACATCTGTAATGCGTCTGCCTGGCTGACAGCAGCAGCAGCAGCAGCAGCCGCAGCAGCAGAAGCAGCGGCAGCAGCAGCAGCAGCAGCAGCAGCAAACGTGCACATGAAAGCGGGCAGGTGTAAGCTGCGAGCCCACATCCAATCACAACCTCCCCGCGCAAGTTACAGTAAATTGCTGCACGTTCCCCATGTTAAACAGGGCATCAAAACCCTGGTAAACCGCACGTAATTTACAGAAATCTCCCTGCCGTTCTGCTTGCTTCATATTCAACACGGGCCAGGAAGACTCAAAATGGCTACTTTCCTTTTGGCCTTCTTTTGAAACCCACCGAACCAAGATCTGAAAAAACACGCATATGGGACTGTCTGTTTTGAGGGTGCCTTTTTTGTGTGGTTTTTGAAGGGAAACCAAAAGGAACCACCGTTTTGTGGGTCCCTAAAAAAAACAAAAAAAAAACACATCTAGTTGGCACATCTTGACATCTATGCGCCTGGAGCACTTGCAGAAGCCACACTGCTTCGGAGGCCCATCCACCTCCTCCTCCGGCCTCGAAATCAAGCGCTTGCTTCGGCGTGTGCTTCTGGGAGGGCACGACATGAGGATGGAAAAACCCAATGCAGATCCCCTATTTGGACTGCCCAAATGGAGCACATAAATTTTCGCAAAGAGATCCCGAAGCCGAGCCAAGCAACCAAAAACCCCGTTTCCGAGCAGAAACTGGCCAGGGTCCGTTCGGGATGAACCAATTTGGGCGGTTGAACTCGGATGGGATGAGCCGATTTTAATGCTTCCTCCCCATGCGACAAAAATAAGAACAAAAACCTGAAAATACAGAAAATCATGTTTCCAGTAGTGACAGAGTTCCGCCAAAACAAACAGGGGAGAATCAAACATCTTCAGCAAACGGAAGAAACAACCGGTTGGTTAACGGCACACCACCAATCATTTTCTGACTTTACACCCAAAAAACATGAACCCCCAAAGACCCCGGAACTGGTTGATGGTTGGCTCGTCTTTTTCTGAGGGTACCCTTTTTGAGCTTGGTTCAAACGGAAACCGACATGAAAACCGACAGGAAGACCAAAGCCAATTCAGGGGTTCCCCTTCAAGACACACCCTTCAAGGGTGCCCCGGCTCCAAGGCGTGTCCTCGTAGGCACTTGACACCTGGCACGCGAGTCCATGTGCTTCACCGGAAACCTGTGATCCCCTGCCTTGCAAGGCTGGGTTTGGATGAAAACTTGTCTCTCTTCTGGACACTGGAAATAGGGGGAAAGCCTCGTCCAGAAGTGTCGACCACTGTACAAATGTTTAATGAGCAAAAGTGTACCCCAGACACACAGAAGTCCGGAGTGGCCAGCGCCAAGCGAGATTCACCCGAGCTGAAGCAACCGGGCATAAAGGCAATGGAGATCTGATGATGCCAAAACCCTCCTTTGGAGGTAAAAAGGGCGTGGCCTCTCACAACTCAGCAGAGCAACATGTGCCTGTTGCATTTGGGGTTGTTGATGTTCTCACTCGTCCCAAGTCGAGATAGAGGAATGTGTTCACTCGTCCCAAGTCGAGATGGAGGATTGAGCTCTTGACACTATCACTATGACTAAGTACGGGAAGGTACGTTCAAACCTAGCATTTACCTGCCGGGCACATTGCTGAGCAGGCACATAAACAGGGCAAATCGGACAATCCCACGGGCTCACGGCTCAAGGTACCAAACACCTCCATTTGTCTTCTTTTGGCTTCATGTTGACCCCTGATGAATAAAACCCCCTACTAATCAGGGGGGTCCTCCCGACCAAAAAGGGACCCTGAAAGTTTATGAATCAGGGTCAACATTTCCTGGTTTCCAGTCAATCCTCTTGAACGAGAGGCTGGTCGCAAACCACAGGGCCCTGAAAAACGACTTTCAGCCTGCGATCCTGATGTATCGGACTGGCAAATGTTAAACCAGACACTCCGAGGGAAACCAAAAGGGGCTTGTCTGTTCAAACAATAGTGGTCTCCTACAACAAAAGCTCCGGCCAAGTCAGATGCCAAATGTTTCATCTACGGACTCGTTGACACGTGTCATCTCGTGTCATAACGTGTCCGCCAGATCGGGCAAGCGCACTGTCTGCAACTGACGGTCCAGACATTCAGGACTTGTCACCTGCCTTTGCAACCGCAAACGGGCATCATACTGACCATCCCCATCTTACAAGACGGTTTATGGGCCAAGTCACACGTCTCCCCATCATTCATCGAAGATATGAATTTACCCATGCAAACCGCACTATCCGCGCCGTGAAGCATGCCATGGCGCGCCAGTCTCGCCAGTCTCGCCGTCTGGCTGCATCCTCACGAGCAAGTTGGGTCAACTGCACACCCACCACATTCCAGGTTAGGCCCCGTATAAAAATCAAAGGACCCTTTAAAAGCGCCCGTTGATTAGTGAAGGAAAATCTCAACCTGCCACATTCGGTGACAGTCTAAGAGTGAGAAGTGTCCTTTGCAAAGGCTGGCATGCATCCCTGGTCACAAGGTTGTGGCTAAAATTAAGCAAGGTTTGCAAACGAGCGCTATGAACATGATACTGAAGAACTGGATAAGGTCAGTTCAGATTCTGCCCAACCAAAAGCTTCCCCTCATGCGGAACTCGGGGCAGCGTGCCTACCATCCACAGGTCCTTGCCATCATGAAGGACTTCAGAGCCCAGCAACATGAAATTTAGCTCAAGGTGCCCGCAGGATTTTTCTCACCGTGATAGCGCAGTCTGCTTTTTACGTTGGCGAAAGGAAGGGTGAGTGACGAGGCTCAATGGGTGTCTTGTTTTGAGGATACCCCTTTTGGCTGGTTTTAAGGGGAAACCACATGGAACACAATTTGGGGGGTTCCACCAAAAGAGATACGCCAAAATGGTCGCACACATGATTTTCCTATGACTTAATTTTGGTTGGAGGTCCACTGCTTGTTCAACGTTATGGGCTTCAGCATGCGCTCAAGCTGCAAGTTTCTGGGCCAGTGGATTAATCCACGCTGCAGCCTGGGAAAGGGGGTTGCTCCGTTTCTTCTTCTTTTTTACAAGAGCTTTTGCGTAGGAGTGGCTCGCTGCAAGAAGGCTGGGTGTGGGCACGGGTGGAGGGCAACATCCCCAGCATCAGCGGGCTCAGCTCATCTGTTGAAACCGCAAGACAGGTATGTGTTGCAGGGACGGTTTCAAGCCACTTAAGTTCTTGCGGCAGGAATAGGGTTTGCTTTTGACGGTTTTAGAGCTTTGTCAGGGTTGGTGTTTGGTTCGTTTGGGGCTACATAGCTGGGGCGCGACCACCGCTTGCCATTACTTTGTGCTTGGCTGAGTTTAGGGTCGAACTTGGGTAAACTCGGGCCAACCAGCCAGCCAGCCAGCCAGCCAGCCAGCCAGCAAGCCAGCCAGCCAGCCAGCCAGCCAGCCAACCAACCAACCAACCAACGAACCAACGAACCAACGAACCAACGAACCAACCAACCAACCAACGAACGTACGCATGAATAAACGAACCAACGAACCAACCAACCAACGAACCAACGAACCAACGAACCAACGAACCAACGAACCAACGAACCAACGAACCAACGAACCAACGAACCAACGAACCAACCAACCAACCAACCAACCAACCAACCAACCAACCAACCAACCAACCAACCAACCAACCAACCAACCAACCAACCAACCAACCAACCAACCAACCAACCAACCATCCGCCTGAGCCACTCCTAGGCAGAAGCCATTGCTAGTAAAACAAAAACGGCACCTCATGGGCAAGGAGAAGAAGAAAAAGGTCTGCAAATGTGATGTCTGTCATTCTGTCTGGAAGAGATGAAAAGGGTGCACCTCAACTCGCTCATTGGCAAACTGTCCACCGCAATATATTCTATATACAAATACATATATGGGAACTAGCCCTGAGTCTGTATTGGATCTGGAACCGTCCACTTTCCTTCCCAATCGCGAAATCGGGGTCCCGGATTCTTCCTCGTCCGGCGGTTGCCAGGGCCTGAACGGGCACTGGGCAACAAGCTTCCACGCCCCAAGAGGCAAGAGGTGCAGTCGTTAAGGAAGATTGAAATTGATGCCGAAGCACTTGAGTACAATTGAGAGTACACCATGTCGCAATCGCCTTCAAATTACATAAGCCAACCTGGCAACTCAAAACCGTACTTTCCTCTCCATCAACTCAGCACCTGCACGCGTTTCAGCTTGTGCGCGCCACGCCTTTTCATCAGCCCCTGTCCGGGCAGGCTGTGAAGCCATTGCCAAAGGCCAGTTATGAAGGCAAACATGGAATCTGGAAACTGGAGTTGTCGCTTCACTCATTTCAATCCAGCTCCCCTCAAATTGTCAAGCTCAGCTCCCGAGTGGATGGCCCCCCAAAAAAGAAGCCCTACCAGCGGCCCATCCCAGCCTTCCATGGTGGAAAATAACCCTGTCTGTGATACCGACGTGGGATTCCCATCTAACTTGCGGGATTTGGATTCCCTTGGTATCACAAAAAAAGCTACCAGAAATCGCGAAAGAAAACATCACGGAGTGGTGGTCTGCCTCTTGATTTTGTGAAGCAAATACTGGCCGACACTTCTGCATAATATGCTCCTGACAACATGCTGATTTCGTCAGGGGCCCCTTTGACCTCAAGACTACCTTGTTCACCATAAGATTGCTAGTAATGATGAATGAATCGCAGCAAACTACAACGGAATAAAAACAACACTTCGAGTAATCCAGTAGCACACTTTTCGCGTCAGCAACCGGCACCACGCAAGGCGCCGAATTGAGGCCCGCACGGCAAGCCCAAGGCGGCTTCGATGCGTGCAGTGCGGCAATGCAGTATGCCGAGGCGCTCGAAGATTGCCTGGAAGCGCGCTTGTTTCCTGTGGATGGACAAAATCCACTTCGCACCACCTGGGATTGGTGGTCTATCCCACTATTTTGGGGGGGTTGAAATGATCCCAGCTCGTGCGAAGTGGATTTCGTCCATCCACAGAGAATTGCATTTGATGTTGCTCCCCAAACCTCCAAAAGGCGAGGAGGCTACCCATTGGATTACGCATACCGAGCTCCTCACAAGTGTTGGATGTCATATCACTTGCCCAACCTTGTCTGTGCAAAACAACACTAGGTGAACATTGAAAAACCCCTTCTTCTTTTTTCTCCAGCGTGTTCCGTGAGCATCATTTCATGTGAAACAGCTTCAAACAAACGCACAGCGTGAGTGGACCGTCATGCAGAGTACCACTGAAAGTAACAGCATACAACAGCGTGTCTTTCACCATCTTTCACCTATTCCTTGCAAAATATTGTTTAGCTTGCTTTGGATGTGTGGCCAAAACAACTTTATACTGTTCAATTCAACCCGCCCATCGAGTTCATGGCAAGGAACTTGTCTAGACACTCCATGCCATGCAACAGTACTGATGGACGAAATCCACTTCGCACCACTTGGGATGGATGAAACCCTATAACTGGCAAAGATTAGGTAACTGGAGCAGGATTTGGTCCACCATGTACGATTTCTCTCGCTGCCAAGCTAGCGGAGGAATCCCGGGGCTGACTTGGTGCTTGGAAAACCTCCCATGTCGTGCACACGAGCAGACTTTCATGTAAACAAGAAGCCGTTTCCCACTTTGCTCATTTGCTCCCCTACAGCCGGAGTAGAACTTGAACAGCCAGCCAGTGGGTGTGTTGTCAGCCTGTTTTCGGATCCCGTTTAAAGGTGGCAGGCGGCGCTAACACTCGGTTTCAAAATGGGTGGGTGTCTTTTTCTAAGGGACCCCCAAAATCTTGGGTGTTCCTTTTGGTTTCCCTTTCAACCCATCCAAATTGGACGCTTTCCCAAGAAAGACATACCCAACACGGAGCCATAGGTTTTGGCGATGTCCCATTGGCTCTTGGGATCCCAGCTTGCGCAATCTCCTCCGACTCCAGAACCAGCTTTTGGCAGCCCTGGCATGTGGCAACACCACTACATCTCACTTCCGATCTAGTGGATTGGCCGACAGGTTGTAGCCAAACTTGTTATTTTACCACGAAAATGGTCCAATCTCGAACAGTTCAAAGTCCAGGAACTCAGGAAGTGGGCTACCCTGAGGGTCTGGTACCTCCTGAGAATGCTAAAAACAAAAATAACATTGGTGAGGGGGGGGTTGGTCCTGAAGCGAATCACAGGGGGTCAAAAAGGAGTCCACTTGGCTTAGCAGTTCAGGTATAGGCACAAATCTTCAAAATGCAAGGCCGCCCAAAGGCCAACAAGACTTCTGGGCAAAGCTGTACTTCTAATTGGCTTTTGGGTTTTTGAAGGTAGCCTTTTGAAGGGAAACCAGAATTTGTCGAGTTCCCGTATTCTGACGCATGACTATTGAAGGAAACAAAGGTTTTCCTCCCCTCAAGTAAGGGACCTTCGTCATGGGTGAGCTCGTTCTACCCCCGAGTGAGCCCATAGTTTGCCCAGACATCACCCTAAAAGGTTCGGACATGGAATATGATACACTTGCCACATGCAAATAAACCCTGAGTCATACACTCACTGTACATTTGTTGGATTGTGCGTGCAAACACAGACACATAATTATGTGCGGTGGTAGGAACCCTCCCTTCCCATTTGAATGAACTCAGAACTACCTGACCATGCATTAATATGAACATTCGGCCATGACAAGTTTCCTGAACCATCGTTTTAAATTACTTCGCCCACGTCGAATGCAAACATGACGCACATACTGGGGGACAATCTGAATACCCGCCACCACCTACAGCCAAACGAAACCTCTAGGGGGGCGCTACCCAAACCCACTTCCCCGGTAATGCTGTCCGCCACTCATTTCTCGCACTGAATATTTCATAACATGACATCATAGGCGGGTACCTCGCTCTGCGAGGTCAAACTTGACTTCACTCACGACCACATGTTGCAACCTTTAGCTTTGATTGGGGTGAGCGATGTGACATCTGGCATGCTGCGAGTAAGAGCGAAACTCCGCAGGATGCTTGGTGCATTTCATTTGCATGGCTTACATCACGGCAAACCGCATTGTTGGCGCTTCCAGTGTCCTCGGAGTGTGCAAGCACATTCAAGCTATTGTGATTGGTACAAGTAAGCGTTTGAAAGAAATCAACCTCCACAAAACCAAGCTAACACATTGGTCTCACTCGTTAGGCAAACGTCTACAATCCAGCGGACAACTCGTCCCAGGAAAACAGCTCGAAAGCAATCAACCCATTGCCCCAGCCCAAAAACGGCCGACACTTATCTCGTGGGATCAACCCCCCCCGCTAACATGGACACTGACAAGTTTTCAGAAGACCATGTTCCTCTAGGAAGATGTCCGTGAACTTCCTTGAGGAAGACTGTCGAACTGGACCTTTTCAAACTCTCCCGTCTGGCATGGTGGGCGTTTCCAGGAAAGACAATATTCTTAAAGTGACTTGCTTTTGTTGTGCCAGGGAGGAAGTCTCACCGTTCCCTCAGCTTTTGCCCAACCAAAATTCGCACCTTTCCTGCTGGCCCGCGCTCAGCGACTTTAAAGTGTAACACAAATCCTCAACCACAATCACATTGACAACTTGCTGCTGGTCCATTTCAGTGAACCTTCAACATCAACAACAAATATCACAAACACCATCTATCAGTGAACCTCAAAATCCAAACAAATCCGAAGAGACCTCACCCCCGAGATCCATGCGGCCGTCTGCCGTCCGTCCTCTCGCAGATTGTCGAGGTCGTTTCCCAGCAGACCCACACGCACCGTGAGGCCCTGGCAGACACGGAGAACCCCGAAACCGGGTCGAGCATTTGCGGAGAATATGCTCCCGGGCAAAAAAGGAGCATGAGAACATGCATCCAGTTTGGAACCTGCCACCCACCAGTGGATGATGGACATTTAGATCAACCACTAAAATTGTGTTCCAAAATGTAGTGACTGTTGGCGTTTTGGGAGCAGGAACGTGCAGTGATGGAGTCCATTTAAAATTAGGGGGGACAAAAGTCATACGAAGCAAAATTGGACACGTTGAGAGACCTAGGATCAAAATCCTTTCGTTGTTCAGGGGTCCGAACCCTTGACCCATGGGTGGCTCGTCTTTTTCAGCTCGGGTCAAAGGGAAGCCGCCAGGAAATGTTGAAATGCACTACTTGGGTGTGTCTTGTTTTGGAGCTGGTACCCCTTTTTGGCCTGTTTGAAAGATAAAGGGAACTAAAAGCAAACCAACCATTTTGGGTCCCTCACAAAAAGACCCCCGATTTCAGAGGTAAACAACTAGAACCAAAGCAATAGCCATTGCCATCACTGAACCAGGACACCTTTGGACAAAAACTCCCGTGCCGATCGGCACCTGGGAAGGAAGGCAACCTGTGAATATTGGATGCCATTAATCCGAACTGGTGCAATGATCGGCTGATTGTGTAATTAACCATCCACATGACAGGGGCCCATCCTTTCTTGACACATGACCAAATGGGTATATTTCAGGGCGGAACTGGGTGGAATCCCTTATGTTTCCTTTGAAACAAGCGCCCTTAGAAGATGCGCCCAAATGACACCTCTTGCTGGTTCTCTGAGGGCCCAAATCCAACGGACTCTTGTCAGGAACTGGCCTGTGGGGTCCTTTTACGTTCTTCCTATTCCTGCTAAGAACTAGCAACTTGTTGCACCCGAAAAATGACACCCCTGGCGGATCCCGAACTAACACCAGGGGTCCCTTCTGTTTATGATCACTCGCCCCACCTTCAATCCTCAAGTGTATGTTACTTTCTTTTTTTTTGCGGCAGGGGGAGGGGGAGGGGGGGGGTGTTGGCTTTCCTGCGGGCATCAGAATCCATAAGTAATGTCACTCGTGAATTGACCTCCCGAGCTGCTTGGAACCTTTGGCAAGTCTGACAGATATCCTCATGCAGATTAACTTGGAACCCAAAAAGCCATCATGTTTAGAGTTGTTTGTTTTGGGGGGATCGTCTGTTGGGGTCCATGGAAAAAATATGGGAATGTGACGCAGCATGCAACTTCAAATATCTATAGGTTGCCAAGCTTCACCATGTTGGTCAAAAGGCGTTGCCAGGATTCTTGTGGGGGCAACATGAGGTTGTCTCACACTGAGCCCAAGTGCCTTGCTTGAACTTGCGACAGCCATCGAGCTAATAAGATCGTCTGTTTGGTGCCGCATTCGGTGCACACCTGCAAGGATGCCTGGAAGAATGTGATTCCCCGAGCAAATGAAACATGGATGATCCATTGTGGCGGGTGCCCAAAGTACACTAAACAGGTAAGGTGTTTTCACACTTTTGAGTGCGGTTGAATTCGATGGAGATGTAATCGGGGTCGAAGAAGTTGACGGTGATCGAAAACACGCTTATCATGCCCGTTTCGCAAACTGTTTGCTACTGCAACTTATTCGACACAAGACAGCCCTTAGGATAGTCTCGATGCATTAATTGGCAAATGTAATGAACGCTGTTGGTGTTAAATACTGGGTTAAATGATACCATTAACATTATTCACAATATATTGCATGCATGACATATGCAAATTAAAGGATTAAACTAATTTCAATGCACACATTGAATGACAACAAACAACATAACGACATTGTAGTACCACGTAGCAACACATGTAGGGGACAAACAGTAATAACAACTGTGAATCAAACAGCAGTTCATCAATTTGGGGTTCCCATTCAGGATTCCCCACATTTCCCCCTTGAACATTACTCACCCCGAAAGGAGACTCATTTTAAATCAGCTAAGTGGAAATCCTTCTCAAGGATCACGTTAAAACAGCTCAGGTCTGAAAAGCCACCCGGCTCGAATCGAGTCGGAACCGCGCGCCTCAACCCCACCGCCCCAGGGAGTGCCCGCTTCCTCGTTCATGGCTGAGAAGGACCTGGCACAAAAGTCGTTGGGGCGTTTTGGGTACACAGATTAGCCCAGGGTACACCAACGAAACACAAATTGACAAATACAATGTTCAGACTCATCTTCTATGCTCACATGACAGTATAAACTGTCTCCCTATAAAGTAGCAAGGAACCCCAGACACCGACGATTGTCAGAGGAATGCCCCCATTTTAGAAAGAGGGAAATCGTCACAAAAAGCAACACCCAAACTCGGGAAGAAGAGAACCCCCCCGCGTCACAGCTTTCATCATGGGCAAGCTCGCTTTACATTTACCCCCCAAATCGGTGACCTCCAAAACAAAAGCTGCCCAGCGAGATGTAATTCGTGACCCAAGGAACCTTCTCTTAACTTGGCAATCAATTGAAGCTTAAACCAAGGGGAAATGCATTGAACGTGGGAGTGCACCGTTTCGGGATCCCCAATGATTCCCTAACAAACCGCAAGAGTCGGCGGCATACCCTGAAAGCCTCTGCAGCTCGATCGCCGTCTGCGGCGATTGCCCCTGGCGTAGGCTGATGTGGGGAGGTACCAGTCAGGGGCTGCCTTCTGTTGAGGGTCCATGGGAAACTTCTGGAGGTCCCCCATGTACCGTCGGCTATGCCAAACTTTGTTCCCACACCTATTCGGCCTACTTCCACGCACAAGTAAGGCAGCCATCTCGGACCAGCATGGCGACCAACACAGAAACCCCATTGTATGACATTGGCTTACTTCCTGAGGCTTCCACACGTCCCCGACTTTTCGCTTGCTCTAAAATGGTGTTCCCAAAAAAAACATACGGGCGAGAACATAATGTCCCTGGGATGTGAAACAAGTTTGCACTGGAGAAAGTCATGCCCCCGGAAAACTTCAGATGACATGCCGCTCGGCTCAGTGCTTGGGCTTGCGCGGACACGTGACTTCACTAAGCATCTCAAGCTTGCGAAAATCGAAGGCCCCACTTTTCTTGTAGCCATGTCGGTGTCTTTTTTTCGGCCCCCCCCCTAAGGCTGGGTCTCCTGTTGGTTTCCCTTTAACACCTGTTCGTGTCCCTTTCAAAATCAGCAAAAAAGGGTACCCTCAAAAAAGGGCACACAAACCCCATTCCCAGCGGCATGTTGAAAGCTGGGCTGTGCCTGGAAGCCCGCTATGACATGAGAAAACAAACAACTCAGTCATTTGAGTTGGTGCCCCTTTGTGGGAGGCTGTACTGGGAATGGGATTACCATCCTACAAAAAGACAGACCCAAACCAACCGGTCAATCAATGAAGTAGCCCCCTTGTTGCTGCACAGCAACTCAAACAGGCCGTGCTTGGATCATGTTGGATCTCTTCAGTCGATAGCGACTTCTGATGGCCGCGTGACTGAATAGGCAATCTGTAGAATGTGTTTTCTTTTCTACATCCAACCAATAGGGGATGATAACCATGCAAACTCTCTAAGAGCCCAAACAATTAGAATTGGATTGCAGACTACTTTGACTTCTAATTTAGATGCATCACACTAGGAATAATGCACTGTAAGAAATCATTTGGCTCTGCTGGCCAGACTTGCGGACCATGGCCGCCGTGTTGCAGGCCTCGTCCATTGCCTCGTCCGTTGCCTCCGCCTCGGCCATCGCGAGTCCGAGCCTGGCCATAGAATTCAAAGCACAGTCTCACTCGGTACCCCTCTTGGGGGGATTCCATATACAGGACTCCTAGGACTCCATAGAGGGAGGGGTACCCCCAAGCCGCCAGGACTTTGGAAGACTTTGGTCCATAGGCTTCCATGTTACTCACAGGGCTCTCTTCGACCCATGGCCAGGGCCTCTCTCAAAACGCTACGTCTTTGTCACGCAAGGAAGCACTTCATCCACATGGGTGCCTGCAAGCAAAACACGTTCCTTTAGCGCCCGAAGTCATGTGCTTTACTTTCATCCAACATGGCACAATTTGTTGTAAGCTTCGATTTTGCAAGTGGCTCTTACGACGTTCTCGAACTCAGACAGTGCTAAGAGGATCTGCATTTCTCTGCTGAAGGATTTTGAGCTGTTGTAATCATACCATTGGCCCCGTGAATTTGTGATGGCCATCACTGAACCCAATGTTTGGGCAACATTGGGCTTCCCCGCGCGCACGTCGAGCTTGGAAGATGCTTCCCACAAATTTGAGTTCCCAGGGCCACTGCACACCTCGTGTTGTGGGGTTCGTTGTTCAACGGACACATATTGCATCATACGGGGGTTGTCCAAAATGGGTGCCCGTTTGGGGCCATGGTTTTTTGGGGCCCACCTTTCAAAGGGGTTCAAAACGTTCAAAAGGGTTGTGATAACCCACCACATGTGCAGGGCTGTGTTCTCCAATCTTCGATACGTTGTCAATCGTTGTATGCCCACCATCTAAATTATTCCAAGCACTGCGGTGAGTGTCATTTGCGCGGAAAGCACGGAAGAGCAAACCGTGCTATGTTACCATAAACGGAAAGCTTACTCATGGACATCATTGCCAGTTCTTGAACCAAACAGGAATCAAGGGGATTCACTCGCGAAGCAACCCACATCTCCAGCACAGTCCCTGCAAGCCTTGAAGCTCAGGGAAAGGATGGGTGAAACGGCTTTTGGTTTGGGCGATCTTCGCTCCAGCAAAAAGGCTGAGGTTGAGGTGGGGTTGAGCTGTGAGCGCTCTGGGCGTGGAGTGGATGGGGCTTGGCTGCTTGGTTCAGGCGCTTGGAAGCTCACAACTGAAAAATGCCACAACCTCCCTTGAGCAGCGTGCAGTTCAAGACCTGCGCTTCCTTCAGGTTTCTTGCAAAAATATGCTGCCTGGCGTCTCTCTCTCGCTCCCTCTCTCTCTTTCTGTCTCTAGCTCTCTCTCTCTCTCTCTCTCTGCCTGTGCCTCTGTCTCTCTCTGACTCTTGCCGTCTTGCCGTCTTGCTCTCTCAGACCTCGCAAGAACTCTGCCACCCACCCCCCCCCGCCGATAGTTGTCGTCAACAGCTTGCAACCTTCTCCGTCCCTGACGCGAACCTGGAGGCTTGCAGCTCCCTATTGACATGGAACCCAAAAGGGGGGTCCATCTGAGCGGAGCTTTCTCTACAAATGGTGACGTTCCATGCTAATCCGTGCCGAGGTCATGCAAGCAACAGCGGAGCATGTTGTTCTTCCCGAGAGGCACGGCCGTGGTACAGCTTGATGCAGCTATTTTGATAACTGGGTACCAGAATCCTCTATTTTGATTAAGTACTGGGCACCAGAATCATTTCTGCCTTGACGCCCTCATTCCATCAATTTCCCCACCCTCAAACTGCCACGTCCGGTAGGTATCTCTACACCTCTGACCCTGTGCTTGCATCCTCAAAGGGAGGTCCAGTACCTTCCATCTCCACTACTCAGAATGAAGAAATGAAGCTGAGCCAGTTTCAGCTGAAAACAAGTTAAACCCCAGTGCCATTGCCAATCTAGGCCTATCCTCCCAGCTGAGTCAATCATGCCCGCGCAGTTCCGATGGCCAGCCCCGCACAGGTCCTTGCCATTGCATCTGGTCATGGTTCATTTGGCTCCCTTGGAACACCTTCATGTCACCCCTCGCCTGAACCATGCGTCGCCTGGGCTTGGTATCGTTGTGCCTACACCTTCTCATCCACGCGGGTTCTACTAGTAGATCGTTGACATCCGTGTGTGAATGTCGTTGTGCCAATCGGGCATGAGTCGATCAAACAGTATCCTGTGCATGCAAAGGAAGGCAGTGGTCAGAAATCTTACTGGGAGTTCACTTGAAGGAACAGAAGATCCAGCTAGCGTTGAGGAATCTCATCCTGACTCGCTCAGCACAGGGCCTAGGTTCAACTCCGAAGATGTGCTTGATTGCTTGTTTCACAGCACAAATAACAGGAAACACTGAATCTACTCGTTGTGCCCCCAACTTGAGAATTTGAATAAGCCGCCCCATCTCCCAAGGGTAATATGAGTGCGTCCGGTGCCATCCCCTTTACAGTGGATGACCATTGAATATTGACCTTTGCTCGTCAACAATCTGGGTTTGTCTCTAAGGGGAGGGTTCAAAAGGGGTGATTTTCAGTTGGCTTCCCTTGAAAATAACCCAAAGGGTACCCTCAAAGCAAACTCATTTCTCCGTTCGAAGTCCCAAGGTCCTGCACCATGCCCGACATTGATGGAAAGGGCCCTTTCCGGTCCTTGCGCGCTTCGAGAAGCACCTGTTTCCGCTAAGCCTTCTCTGAGCAAATTGCATTGCCCTTGCAAATCCAGCCAGCAAAACATGCGAATTCCAAAGAAATGAATACTTGGTTGTTTTCAACAGGGCTGGCTGAACCTGTTGTAAGTGTTGCCTCTTACTTGCATCTTCCCCCAAATCTGATGATGTTTGGGGCTTAGCTCAACACTGTGACTATTCATTGTGGCGTACACATTCGGGCTGTCACTTGCCCCGTGCGTCCATCTGGCCATCTGAGGGAATGGCAATGCCAGCAACAGCCTGCGAGCGATCATGAACAAACCGCCGCTTCGCATTTGCGAAGCAGCGGCACCTACTGAGCAACCAGGTGAAAGTGAGCGGTGAAACAGCAAAGTATCTCCCATGAGCCACGGTCAATATTCATAACCCCAACTGACCTGGGCTGCCCTCAGATCCCCCGCTAAAAGTTTAACTTTTAGTGGGTTAAATGGAAATTACCACTAAGCACTAAAATGCTAAAAAGATAAGGGGATGGCTGGGAGCCACCAACTGACATGGAACTTCGGTGAGGAACCAAAATCCATTTCCCGATGGTGGCTTGGGTGTGCCCCCTGCCAGCCTCTTTACTACTAGAGATGACCGTTGCTCACAGACGCATGATTCTACCCATAGGCTCACTCAGCCTCTTTTGCCACCTGTCCACTGTGGAATGGCCCTGAGGCTTCGGCGCGTACCAAAACTTGAGCCAGTTCATCATGGGCGTTTAAGGTATCTAACAGACTCAGCTGCCTGTCCATGATATTCGATAGATACAGTGATATAGCCCATGAGGCCATGAGGACTCTCAACAA